ACAGTAGTTATTGCATTAAAACAAAGGTATGTAATATTTGCGTCTCCCCACCAACTGTTCCCAACCCAGTATCAGGTATTATAACACATTGTCTCTCCCCATTGTGCCGGTGACATAGAAACTGCAGCAGATGACTACTGACATTTGGCAGGAAGCTGCCTTTGCAGATATCAACTTAGATTCATTACAGTTATTACATTTTTGTCAAATGGCATGATGTCGTAGTATCTGGAGTGAAAACTGTTCCCTCACATCATACAGCACCTTAGTTATTGTCCTGAGAGCGCACACGCAAAGGTTTCTTTTCATGCTATCCTGATCCTCCACGCAAAAGTAATATGAAAGTGTGTAACAGATTTAAAGCTTGCAAATATACCATCTGCAATGGTATCTTTGGGATACCATTAACATGTAGAAGAAAATATATCGGGATATTCAGCTGAGCCATATATACTGTAGTACTTGACCAGTTGTTTAGCAAATAGAAAACTCATTCTTAAAAGATATGTTTTCAAATTCTTGAAATTACTTCAGTGCGCAAAATTTACCTTTGTTAAGGTCTCTGCACATTTAGAATATTGTAAAAAGAATGTACATCAGTTTCGTTTTTTTAAATGGTATCCTTTCTCCTTATTACGTCCAGGAACACTTTTGGAAGCGAGAAACAAACTGAATTCTTATTAGAACATCTTCTGACCCATCCTTCATCCATTTGGGTACCTTGCAAACAACATCTTTGTGTTCTTCCCTCCCGCAGACATCTTCCGCGTGTGAATTACAAGTCAAAGGCCAATGAGTGTCTTGCACCTTCCTTCTGGACAAGAGCCTTGCATAACGTGACCCTAGTCTTGACTGAGGTCCTTACCAAGCATTATGAAGTACTATTGCTACTACTAAAATGGAAAATACTAGAGGAAATAGTAAGGGTGAATGAAGGAATGAATGGCATGAGGATTACATAGCTGATGGCTCCAGACAGATATTGAAAAAAACTCCATTTCATGTTAAATGGAGTAATACATTTTAAGTAAAAAAAAGAGCCTACTCTAGCACGCTGTATATTATAGGCCACAGAACCACACCCAATAATTTGGGCATCACAGGTATGGGTATCAAAATGAAATAAGACAAGGATGGATAGTCTCATCTCTTAAGTACACGTCAACATAGAAGGAAGTTTGAAATTCTAATTTAAAAGTCTTTCCACTGGCTTGAGAAAGTAAGATAACCAATTTGTCTGAGTTCACTATTTAAAAAGTTGGAATACTTACTTATCCCATAAGGATACTGTCAGGTTTAATTAATTATGTCTGTAAAATCCTTTCTAAATGAAAAGTGGTAAGCATGATTTATTAATTAAGTCTAAAACATCACCGTAGAATCAGAGAGTGATCATTGTTTCATCAAGAGAATAACATTTCTAATACAATACATTTCAAAATGGATATTACAGTAACAGCTTTTGTGACTTATTTAGACCTTTTCGGGGGGTGGGGGAGAAGCAATAGGTTTTTGATGAGTTCTAGGAACAGAAGTATGATCAAGAACATGAGATAGGGAAACACTTGCTCAGCTCTCCCACTGGCTTCAATGGGGCACTAGCTAAATGGCATTGCATAAATCATGAGAATGTGGACCATCTATCCAGCACTGCTGTACGACCAAGCGGACAGAGAACTACCACTCCTCTGCCGATTAGACATCACTTGCTCGTACCCTGACTATGCGCAAGGCTCGGCACACGTTGCCTAGCTATAGCCACCCAGAACTGGAGAGACTGCATGGCACTAATAGACCAAAATTATTTGTATAGTGACAACCTATGATCTATACAGGGCCTGATCTTCCTTCCAAGAATTTGAAAGTTTGTATCAGTGTGACTCTATTATTGTCGGTTCTAATGCTCGCTGGTGTATCAGACTTACAGCATTTACCTCTAGGCAGAACTGAGACGTCCAAGAGCCCTGAATGACAGCTGCAGGCAGGGTTCATTGACCAGACCTCCTCGCTGGGTGCAGCGGGTCCCCTTTTTTGGTCCTCTTCTGCCTGTGATGGCAGCTGTGTTAGCTAAGGCAGTCTTTGCGGGGAATTATAATTCAGTCGGAGCACACCAGGGCCTTGAATTCGTCAGTCCAGATAGATATGAGTAGTTTGAAACAGTCAGAAGAGAAGTGGATCAAATGATCAGTTACACTGATTCAGCACATCTACTGGACAGTCCTGTGGCCCAGCTCCTTCCTGGACAACTCCGCCTATTCCTCAGCCTGTACTGGCAAGCTCCACACCCTCAATGCCAATAGCTGGAGTTTCAGAGAAGGAAATGAATCATGCCCTTGGAATGTAACTGAAATCCCTCAGATCTAAGAAAATAGTTATTCGTGTGTGTATACATATAATGTGGATAGCTCATATATTGGCAATTGGATTTAAATCTTATACTACACATGAACAAAAATATCCCAAATCCAGGGGAACTCAGCATAAAGTGCCATTCCAAAGATAAAGCACGGGATTATAAACGAAACAAGCACTACCATGTGACTTCAAATATAATGTAGCCTGAAATTGGGTCTGATCCAGCACAAAATAACCACAGCCCTTCCAGCTACACAGACATCAGGTTTGAATGGTTGCACTGTAGCAACATGACACTTAATTCAGAAATATCAACTTGCTATAGAAATGCAGACAGTAAGGGATTGTCTAGACTGGGTGAAAGTATTTTGTAAAAACGTTTTTAGCTAAAACTAATACAAGAAGCAAGGGTAGTTTGATGTGTTAGCTGGTCAGGAAAAATGCGTGGGGAGATCCCCTTAATTAATTACTAATTTGTTTACATTTCTGTGTAAAGTCCCCACTTGGAAGTCATATGACCTCTCCGCCTCCCAGCTTCCCAGCTTTCTCCTTTTTTAGCACATCTACTTACACTGCTCTCCGGTCAAGAGCTACGTATCTGCTTGGCCTGCGTTCACACAGGCCTGCCAAGCACCGCTCGCTGTCATACCAGTAAAAATGGTGGGCCGGCCGCGGCACAGAACTTCAGCCATAAATACCACTTTGCTTCTTCAAAGCAATGTCGATGCTCAGGCCCTGAAGTTAGTCCCAGGCTGTCCTCTCGACCTATCTCACTTCAGAAAAGAGGGTATTTAGGGCCTGGGTGCTCCCCCACTCAACGACGCCCCCTGTCAGTCCCGAGGTGTGCCCATTTTGGGGGGCAGAGATGGCAGATTACTCCACCAGCAAGCACCAGATAAGCCGACCCTGCCTGGTGCCCCTGGAGACCGGGTGCCCTCGCCGCCTGACATCCTGCTACCGCAGGAGGGCCTGGCCGAGCGGAGGGGAGCAGAGCTGGGCCCCCCAGCCGGCCCTACCTCCTCCGCCCCCGCTGCTGGGGCCTCCTGCCGTGGGGGGGCTCTTCCGCCCCCTGCCCCCAGAGCACAGACATGCTTCTCCCCTCCTTTTGCACAGGACACGCGTAGGGGATGGGTACGGACACAGCAAAGCAACATGTGCTCGTTTCCACAGGCCGGTGTTGTCAACCCAGTGACTATCCCCTTAGTTTTGCTCATTAACAGAAAGTCATTTCAGGTAATCCCATTATTTGGAAATAATTTGAAGGGTATATTGCACTGAAAAATTTCCCTAGCTGACTCGCTCTATTTACTGGTTGTGTTCAGCTCTTAACTTCAGTGTCAGTGCTAGCAAAGAGCAAATACGCAAGGCTCAAATCACAAATGCACATCTCATTTTTCAGACTTGTTCTAGGCTTTACTGTGACTTCCTTGAGCCATCATAATCACACTTATGTATGAGACTAATAGGCCATCTTTTATTTTGTAAATACTTTGTCCACAATCCAATTTCAGTCACTTTGCTCTCAGGCCAAATTCGTGCGCGTTTTTATCTAGAGAAAAGCTCTAGCTCTTCCGGCTGCATTCACTTTTGCAAGGGCACTGTCCTCAATCAGAACGTGTGAGGCCCTGCTTTATGAAATACTTAACGACTTTTAAGAGGAAAGCGGGAGATTAACCCTGTCCCAATGGTCAAGACAGCAGGGAGGCTGCCAAGCCGAACCAGCTCTTCGCCAGCGTTTGGGACAGTTCCAACGGGAGAGAACTGGTCGCACCCTACCTCCAAAAATCCTCTAGCCGGATGGTCGCTGAAGACATGAAAGGGATTTGAAATGACAGAAGAACGTGGCAGCTACGCTGTCTGGATCTCCATCATACCCTGGTTATGGATCCTTTCCTGGAGAGCGAGAGGTGCACGTTTCCTCGCAACCGCTCCTTGAATCTCCCACTTAGGGGGAATCGCTACGTGTCACGAAGAGCTGAGCGTGGCCTGCTGCTCCCACCCCGCTTTCCCTCCGAATTTAAAAACAATGCTATGCAGCTATGCTCCTGAATCAAGTCGCCTCTCCCCAACCTACGCCGAACGCCTGCGGGATTAAGCAGGACAGGAAGTCGCAGGGACAGGCTCCCTCGCTCTCAAGGTTTTTACGTGAAACTTGCCACCATAGCTGACAGGGCAACGAGCAGCTGCACGTTTCCGCTGCGTCTCCAAAGATAGCTGCAGCTCCAGAAATGGCAATCTTGTGCATTGGTGCTTTAATGACTCGAAGCTGAGGTGGTGGGGAGAAGCGCTGCTTCTTTTGCCAGTTTCTAAAACATCAAGCACAGTCTCTGCAAGCCACCTCTTTGTTCTGCAGTCAAACAGGACTCGAATCACACGATTGGCGTGGAGTTTGGCTCCAAGGTCGTTAACGTAGGAGGGAAGACAGTGAAACTGCAGATCTGGGACACAGCTGGGCAAGAAAGGTTCAGGTATAAGAAAATGTTTCCTCTTAGTGAATTGTGGTGTCAGAGCCTATGGATTAGCTTTGAAATCATGCATAAGCACTTGTCATGTTCAAAGTCCTTTAGGTTTTGGGTTGTGGGTTTTTTTTTTGTTTTGTTTTGTTTTTTCCTTCTCATTTAAGCCCTTTCCAAAGTGGGTGAAACATGGATGCCTTTGGAAATGCAGCTCCCTTGGCTAAACCGTGCAGTATGTGAAATGCTGGGAAGTATCAGAACTTGCCCAGTGTCTCAGCTAGCAATTGCTTTTGGCCTAAAAAAGAATGTCAGTGCCTTGCCTGAGTTGAGAGCCCAAAAGGGCAGCTTTAAACCCTTTTGGGCCCTTTTTTTTTTTTTTTTTAATGTTGCGTTTACCGTTCAGTGTAAACTTGCATCGGGAAACGGTGTTACGTGAAAACTTACCGGTTAATTTAAAATATGTTTAACCCCTGTGACGAACAGGAATTAAAACGCAGTGGCATAAGGAACGTTTATGCTTTAAGGTCTTTTGCGTTTTATTTCCATTCTGTTCCTTTAAAAGGGAAGGGGAGAAACCATTCCCTGATTGTTTGTTTTGTCGGCATGTTTCATTTTCAGTCAGTGACGTGACTAGATTTTGTTGTTTTCAGAACATTCCTGAAGAAAGTTTGTATGTGAAGTGTAATGGGCGACTGGCTAATGCTGAAGATGCACTGCAACATGGAGTTGTTTATAGCCTGGAACCAAGACTTTGTGGTGGAAAAGGAGGTTCGTTGCTTTACTGCTTCATGTTGATTGCAGCCTTGGTTTGAAAAAACGTATACCTTAAACTGTAAGGACAGTAGCAGTACCAGTAGGTTAGCTGGACTCCAGTAAGTGTATGTGTCTGTGGAATCAAGTCTATGAGTTAAAACCAAGGTCTGCTTGTAAAGCTGAGAAGTCACCAAGGAATCTTGCAGTTCAGCTGACAACTAGTGCTGGCAGTTCTTCGCATCCCTGGTCAGCTCAGCTCTGCTAGTAGAAGTCTCTAACATGTACCAAAGTGACTTCAGAGTCCCCATGCTATCTTTAAAAGTATCTAGCTCCTTAGGTTGCTAGGTAAATATTCCAGGTACAAACAGCCTGTAATTTGGGTAAGATACGTGGCGTAATTTGTTTCGTCGTGAAAACCTCTTATTTGAAAAATTACCTAAACGCCAGGAAGTCAGTATTCTAAGAACTAAAAAACTAAATCCAAAACAGTCTCCTTGTGTTGTCAGAATATTTTAACCGTGTTACACAAGCTGTGTGTTGTCATCACAGCGTGCATTCTGTCAAATGGAACATGATGGGTGAAGCAGGTTTAGCAGAGTAAATGCACAGAGTCAATGAAGCTTTGCTTTTTAAATCCAGTTCTCAGAGTTTTCCAGCTACTGAGCTAAAATGCTGAATAATCATGCAGTTTGGCCTTGGAATCCATCGCAGTTTGCTTTACCTTTTTCATAGTTTTAGGCAGAATTGAAAATAAATATTGTTGCTATGGTTTTTAAGTGCCCTGAAAGCAGAGCATCTGGTATGCTTCTTCTCACATTATCTGTCAGCTTCAGTTATCCTGGGATGACACAAGATGCGTATTCTGTGATACGCTTTGTGTTACTGACGTGCCATTGAGGTTAGTTAAAAATGGCCATTTCATGATATCATCTGTTTCCTTAAGTTTTCTTATTGTTTTGATTCTGTAACTTGAAAAAGCTTGATAAAACCAGGGAAGTAGAAACAGGTTAGAAATATTGAGACTGATTTCATGATCTCAAAGGATTATAAAGCATGCAGGCTAATAAGAGAGCTGAGCATTTTGTTATCAGGTTCAGTTCATCACCTGTGATGAAACTTACTGAAAGCATACTGACCTTACTGAAAGCATTACTGTTGATTTTTTGGGGAGCATTCTCAGCTAGATGTAGCAGCTAGGTCCTCATCGTCTTCAAAATGTAAAATTCAATGGAATGTTTAATGAGCTACAGAAATTCTGTTCGCCTATGGCAGTAATTGGTTTTGTTAGCTGAACAAAGTTCTTTTGCTGCCTCATGACATGCAATAGACTGTCTGGATTGGTAAATATTTGTAATGCTCCCTGAAGGTACTTTTGGGGCACTTTAACTAGAAGCTGAACAAATCTGCATTGCAGTCATAAGGAGCAGCCCTTGGCACTTTCAAATTGCTTTAAGGGTGATGTCAATATTAATGCACGTTTTTCTCTTTGAAGTAGTTAAGCAAGTGTCTTTTCTCTAATTTTGGAGAGTAAGCAGAGAGACTGAGTGACAGAAATTAAGAGTCTTGCCTCTGAGTAATTACAGGCTGAGGAATGTATTCAAATCTAGTTTTGGGGGCTTTCCAGAATAACGTTGTACATCGTCATCATCTTGAACTTTTTTTTTTTTTTTTTTTAAGAGGGGAAAAGGGGGTTTAAGTTCTAACATTCAAGATCAAAGGGGCCTAAGGGGGAGGCATATCCTGGCTAAATTGGGAGGGACCAAAAATGCCACCTTGAGAGGAAGAAGATAGCAAGCTATTATGCTGGTGGAGTCCAGGAATAGCTTCTAACGTCAGAAGCGCCACACAGGTTCTAGTAACTCGAGAAGCCATCTGGCGTGGTATGAGGAGCGCAGAAATGAAATGACAGGTAAATGCTGGATGCCTTTTTTATTTGGTGTTTCACCATTTGACCCAACAAACAATTCTAACGTGACTTTCAACTTACTTTTGGTTTCAGTTGCACTGTGGGAAAGAAAAGTGTTGGATAGACAGTATTCTGTGATGAATTTTTTTCCTTGTGTAATAACTCATTGTGACCGACTGTCAGGATCCTAAATGCTACTTTGAAAGAGGGTAATTGTGTTTACCTTCTAGATTTCTCCGTTTGCTTCTGTTTAGCTAATTCTTGATTACTCTTTTGTCAGGTTTTGGATCTATGCTGCGAGCGCTTGGTGCTCAGATTGAAAAGACAACGAATAGAGAGGCTTGCAGAGATCTCAGTGGAAGGAGACTTCGAGATGTCAATCATGAAAAAGCGTGAGGCACTTTCTTAGAAACTGTCATTATAGAATAAACTGACCTTATAGCTCACTATCAACAAAAGAGGTCAAATGGAAGGCTGTTGTAGCAATGAAATTCTGTTATTCTTTACGCTAAATGAAGCAAAAGTGAACTCTTAAGCATGGATAGACTGGAAGTTAGCAGATATCGCCTGCTTGTTTTATTATAATTGTCCTTTGTCACAACATAGGTGTGGTTGTATTGCAGTCTGCCTGTGACAGTGTGATCTGCATCTCTTAGATTTCTCGTCTGACAGTCTTACAATTCTTCTATCTAAAGCTACGAAACCATGACACCGGGGAAATGTGACCTTACTGCTGTTTCTGTCTTCCAAAAGAAACTTTACTCTCTTCTCCGTAGTAGAATCTCTGTATATTCACGAGGTAAAATCCCTGGGTTGTTTTCTTCTTCTTCTTTTCTGGTTCTCTCCTATCCTAGCAGGTGGTGGAGGCATTCGAGAATTGCAAAGCAACAAACTAGCATTAGGTTAAATGTTGGAAGCCCTCTTAATTTCGTGGATCTGTCTTTCTGCAGGATGGCTGAATGGGTGAAACAGCAAGCAGAGCGGGAAGCAGGAAAAGAACAGAGGCGCTTGGAAAGGCTGCAGCGGAAACTTGCAGAGCCAAAGCACTTTTTCACAAATCCGGACTACCAGCAGCAGTGTCATGAGATGGCTGAACGACTAGAAGATTCAGTGCTTAAAGGTAATGAAGTTTAACTTCACTTACTTTTTTTCCCCCTCAAAAAATAAAGAAAACTAAGAACCCTTTAGTCTCACTCCAATATGAAAGTTTCACCCCAAAAAAAAAAAAAAACACAACACAGCTGACAGGCAGTGTTTCAATGGAATAATTGAATGAAATTTTAAATTCCAGTAAAATGAATTCCTTTTTTCTCTTTACTACTGCTGTTATTAAATCGCAGCAAACAGCGTAACGCGTGAAAGTGATGCTTCGTTGTACTGTGATTTTAGTATCTCGCATTAAATGCAAAATTCTGCAGAAGTAGTGATGCTAGTTCAGCAATAAAATTGTACGCCATCATTTTCTGGAAGAAGATAATATGTAAACAGATCTTGCATAACAACTAGAACCTGACTATAAATAGAAAATGTCTTGTGTCACTTATTGGTCTCTGTATTTATTTTGTTTAGCCACTGATTGTTGCCTTGCTGGCAACTTGATCGTGAAAATTTAGGCTGAATGGGACGTAGAATCTGAGAGTTCAGTTCAGGAATTAAATTTTGAGATGAAATTTTAAGATTAAAAGGATTGAATCTGTGCTTCAGTAAAGCTGTGTAGGAAGGCTTTTGCTGCTAGTGAGTTCATATTTTGAAGATTTGAGTCTCCACTAATGTGCAGCACTAGTGATTTTTTTTTTTTTGTTCTCAAAGTTACAGTTTTAAGTTAAATGTGAAATTGAAAAATAAGTAGAATTTACAACAAACAAGAATCATGTATTAACTTTGTTCCGAAGGATTGCAGGCCACTTCCAGCAAAGTAGTGTCACCGGGAACCAGCGATAGTCGGAAACGTCCAAATGAATCTGAAAACAATGGAACAAAATCTGGAAAAAGAAAATGTTTTTGGTAAGCCCTGTGGCTTGATAAGGCATTGAACAGGAGGTATAGGTTAGGTATGTGTAAGTAAGCAGTCAATATCTTTATTTGAGATGCAGACTTAAATAGCAATAAATAAATTGAACCGATTAAATTGGAGAACTGAACGTAAACGTTGCTGCGTTTGACTACTTCTGTCGCAGCTGGAGCAAACAAACCAAACCTACAAAAAAAATGGGCACCCTTTGTCTTTTCCCTTCTAACATGGTTAAAATCTTTAGCTTCACTTGGCCTTCTTTCATTAATGGACTAATTGAATTTACAATGAATTCTTTAAAAAGTGCATATGAAATGATTTATTTTTTCCTGTCCTTTTTTACCTAATGTAATGTGAAAGGAAAGTCTTAGTGATTCCAGTAGTGTTTGGAGTAGCAGTACGTGTTGCACACTTCTCTGCTGGGAAAGCTGTGAAAAAGATACCCGTTTTTTGAGGGTGTTGGGTCCTGTTCAGTATTAGCAGTTTTTCCATTTACAGTGTAGAGTAAATTGTCCTGAGTAATTGGTAGGGTAGGTCAGTGCATCTCTCTGAAGCAACGTTTGGGAAGAGAAGTGATGCTTTTTTTTTACAAATATTCATCCATTCTCACTTTTTAATGCGTTGCATGTGCCAGGCTGGGAGTGGAAGGATTGGATGATCCTGACAGTTCAGAATGTGATGATGACAGTGAAGATGATTCTGCTCATGCATCTGGAGGAAGTTGTCCATCGAGCAGCAGATATAATGAAACTGCTGAAAATTCAAATGAGTGTTCAAGTAGCTCTGTGGATTCAGTAGAGTATAGTTCAGCTACCAATGCTGAGAAACCGCTGGAGCATCCGGAAGGTACTGGAAGAGATCTGCAAAGGGAGGCAATTGCAGGGGAGCAGACTGAAATTCCAAGTGCTGAAAATGGTGAAATGGCAAAGACCGGGAAAGAAGATGCCCAGGGAAAGAATGAAGCAACCAAAGCTCTGAAAGAAGGAGAGCGAGAAAATGTTTCTTCTAAGGCACAGGAAACAAACCAGATACAGAGCACGGTAAGCAGGAAGCAGTACAAAATATGCTGTGTCTTTTTCTTCCATTGCTTATATTCAGTCACTTTTTCTATCCCCACAGAAGGGGGACAGCATTTGTGTCATCTGACTTGAACGCATGAGCTACAAGTGCCTGAATTAGAATCATAGTCTTCCTAAGCAGTCAATAGAATCTCCAGAGTGTGATTCAGAGCTCATAAAATCCCGGGGTTAAAAAGGGGAAATACCTTAACTGAATATGCATTGGCACTACTTAGAAAAAAAGGAATATGCTGGTTAATGGAATTGCAGCCAAAGAGGGCTCTCAGTTGGCAGTGTCTTCACTGACCCCTGTTATTTCCCCACAGAGAAAGTTGAATTGTAGTGTAGTAGCAGAGTCTTGAAAGAGTCTAAATAGATTGGATTAAGGGAGAGCTTTAAGTCTGTCACACAGATCGAGATTTTAGTAGTCTCGAGTTTCTACTAAGGTCCTGTTGCTCTTTGCCATCTAGTGCTGCCTTTTCTGAGATGTTTGGTCCTCTGTTTTTTTTCCTGCATTGCATAGTTAGACACACTGTGGGTCCAAAATCCTCTCTTTCGGAGGAAGGGAGTAAATATCCCTTCTGTAGTATGAAAGACTTCTATCCTTTTTTTTTTTTTTTTTATTTGTGTTACTAAGCACAGTCCAACTTCACTAAACTTACTTATAAGATAATTTGATCTTAGTGTTTTACCACATTTACCACATTGTTTAAAATAGAAGTTGTTCTAAGTAGAAGCTCCCTACACCAATCAGATGATCAGTCTGTCTTAGTTTCTTATAGGTATAAAAGAATTTAATCTCGTTCCTAGAGAACCCTGCGAATCTAGCTCAAACTTCAGTTCTTATTTGAGCATGAAAGTCTGAAAGCAGCAGCTTCTTCACTAAAGGCACAAGATTAATATAAGTGAAAGACTTCATCTGAGTTTGCAAAGAATGGTGGAAGAGTAGATTTAAAATTAATCATCTGTCAGTGATGAAAGCACTTCTCTACTGTTCCAATACCGTGATCTCTGCTGTCGATCTGGGCTCATGTCAGAGCTCCCTCAGCCATACCATGAGCAGCACTGACCATGAGGTTGCTTCTTTGGTGACTGATTGGTGGGTAGCTGGCGACTGGGATTGTTGTGTTGTTGAAGAGGCTTTGAATCTCTCAGCCAGGAGAGAATGCAACTCTTCCCACTGAACTGGTGAAAGCCCAGATAATCTTTAACAGCGAAAGTTGCCAATACTTGTGCTTGCTTGCCCCTTCTTGAATATTACTACTTAGATTTTGGGGGGATAATGAATCCAAGCTTATTCTTACCATAAAACAAAGCATATCTTTGTTTTCCGACCAGAGAGGTGCTTGGATTTTCTGCCTCTGTACAGCTTGAACAGAAAGTCTCTGTCAGTTGCCACTGCTAATGACTGAATTCAGATAAGTGAAAGGGAAATTTAGTACAGTTAAAAGGGGAGGGACGAAATCAAGGATGTAATCTGGGAGGTTATAACTTTGTCGTCTACTGTATTATTAGACCTAGCACATTTTAAACTGGATGTTTACCATTCTCCAGCGTTTACCTTTTGCTCAGTATTTGCAAGACTGTCTTATTTTTGGAACAGGAAACTCCACCAATGCTGTGGCAGATTGCTGTTGCAGGTGGAAATATTTTTACAATAGTCATTGATGGATTTTGTAAGAGTAGGACTAGGATAATGAGGTAACCAATCTTTTTTGGTATGCTTAGCAGGACAAAGGTTCTCATTCTGTTAGCGATAACTGTTTTTGCTGAACTCGTAACTGAGTGGTTTCATTCCCGCTGCTTGTGTTATTTGCTCTGCAGTCCCTTTGATAGCTCCAGCATGATACCTTTCATAAGACTAATAGATGCTTAAGTAGCCAATGAGTGGGCCTAGACTTATATTCTTTTCAGTGGGTGTTACTAAACTCCACTGTTCTGAATCGTCCTTGAAGGACGGACTGTGGAAGGTCCTGAGCAACCTGCTCTAGCTTACCCAGCTTTGAGCAACGGCTTAAGACTAGATGACCTCCAGAGGTCACATCCTCTTTCAACTACTGCATGATTCTGTGAATACATCAATTTCATCTTAAGATTCAGTTTTCTTCCCTTTTTGTGAGTCAGGATGAGATGTGAAATTAAGAACTTGCTGTTCTGTAAAGCCTTACTGAAAAGAGGATGCTTTGATATACATTTTTTTCGTTGCAGTGCAACTGCTTTAGAAATGAGAACTGTTCATCCCTTTTCTTTATTACAGCTCAGGGATATGTGGTCATAGTCCCCACCTGATTAGAAAGGGGCCAATAGCTTTGTCATGCCTCTGGGAACCAAGCTTAAGCTACTGAACTGCTAGGTGAGATGGTAGCTTCTCAATTTTAATTCAGTTTTCTTGGGAGTACTTAACTTTTCTAAGTATAAAAACTGTATTGACTATTCTGTCTTCAGAGGAGAAGGATTAAAATACTGACGCTTAACGTCCTTCATTTCACTCTGTTCTCATTTGTGTGTTGGAAGTAGAATGTGTTAATTCTGCTGAGACAGTTTAAAACATTCGGTTGTGCTCATATCATTTAAAATGACCAGTTGTGCTCGTATCGTTTGAAATGACCAGGGCTTCTCTCTTGGGAGCAGTGTACATTGCAGGCCTGAGGACATCTGCAGCTTGTTAGAGCAAGCCTTTAACTAAATAGGCAGCACAGGCACTGCAAGGAGTGGAATTGCAGCTGCACAGCTAAACGCTGGGAGACAAGCACACCTAAGCATTCAGCCAGCTCTTGGGTGTATTACCTCTGCTGAGATTTGCATATTTTATGGTTAGGCTGCTAGCAGTGCTTGAGCTAGCTTCAGTTTGCTCGTACATCATGCATACCACTCTGCCTGGATGCCGAAGGTATCCCTAATTATGAGAATACCCAACATAATATATATGGCAGCATTGCTCAGCTGTATTACCTGAAGTAATTGGGCCTTTGAGATAATCCTTTTCAAAAGTCTACTGTAAAATGAAGTGTTTTATGTTTGTTTTGTTTCCTTATCCCCTGCCCCGTTTTCAGGAAGAAAATAAAGGAATAGTAGTCATGGGATGTTTTTCCTCTTTGCAGGAGATGGAAGCAATAGACCTACTGGCATTCAACTCTGCTGCTGAAATGGAAGTGCTGGGATTAGATAAACTGAAGTTGGAACTGATGGCTTTAGGACTGAAATGTGGAGGAACTTTACAGGAAAGAGCAGCAAGACTTTTTTCAGTGAGAGGTCTCCCTAGAGACCAGATTGATCCTGCCTTATTTGCAAAGCCTTCTAAAGGGAAAAAAAAGTGAATTTTAAATTGATTTTGTTTCTGAGTGCTTTTCCATTTTCTTTACTGTCATTCTGTACGGCCACCTAGAAAGAATTCCTTGGCATCTCTAGATAGTTTCTGGTTTCTAGTTTTAATGGAGTTTGATTAATGTAAAACAGAGTAAGTTGCTAGATAGATAGCTATGCGTTCAGTATTAAAGGAGTGAAACTGTTGTCTTTTGATGTGCTTTAGAAATGGTTATAACAAGTCTTAATGCAAGAGGTAGAAGGAAAGAAATAACCTGACTGTTTTCCAGAAGATTAGTGTATGACACTGTCATCACCTATTTTAAGAAAAATAGCAATCCTTTCTTAGCTTTATATCGACTCTTCTTTAACGTTTATTGCAGTCAGTACAATTGCAACTGTCAAATGGCAAACATCAAACACGTGATCCAGGCTCAAAAGCTGAAGCCTCTTTATATGAAGAGAACATTTTTGTATGGATGAGGTTAATATAAATAAATGCACTGTTTTGTGAATTTTGTGGGACGTCAGATATCAGTATGACAGTTATTAATTGGTGTAAATATTTCTTTCATAAGAAGTTAAATAAAGGAGTTTTCTTATTCTGCTCTTGAAACGTCTCTGAAGGGAGAGAGTCATGTCCTCAAGAAATTAGAACATTTGTTGGTTACTGAAGTTAGTAAGATGCAAAATGATCACCTAAAGTTGAAAGGGAAGTTTAGGATAGGATAGGGTAGTTTTAATTTTTTTTTTCCAAGGGTAAAAGCAATGGAATAGTCTCCCAAGGACGTGAATATCTACACCGGTGGTGCTTCGTCCTGGAGCACTGTCTGTAGCCTCGGTGCCAGGAGCCATCCTGTGAGGTGGTACGGACTGTGCTGGAAGGTCAGTGCACTCACGTGACTGTGGATGCAGCTCCCACCTTTCTTGAGGGCTTTTTAAAAATGTTTAACTCAGTGCCTCAGATTTCAGATTTTACCACCATGTGCTGAAGAGTGTTATATGATCTGCTTATGTGATTTTCTTGGATAAACATTTGAAAAATTAAAAATTACTCGTGTCCTGTCCTGACATGATGCCAGCAGTTTGTCTGTAGTAAAGTTTGGCTCAAACAGTAAAGTTTTTTGGAACTGCAATACTGAAAGGAAATAGCTATGTGTGCCAGGGCATCAGCTGACTTGCATAGTATTTAATGTTTCTGACATGAGCAGTTTATATCTAATGTTTCAGTCAGCAATGACTCGATTTTGCAGTCTTAGTTATAGCCTTTCTGCTTCTCTGTTAGAATTTGTTTATGCTTGGAAGTTAGTTTTGGAATGAGCGAGCCTATTAACTTTAAAGCTCAAGGATTTATTCCTGACAAACTCTGTAGGCAAGCTGTTAAAACAGTTGTGTTCATGCAGCTGCTCCAAAATGCTGATTAATCTGACAGTTTTATACTTCCATCACCAGTGTGACCTGTTCTGCACCTCGCATGTATGCGGAGGAAGCTGAAGTCACGAATGGCTCCTCATTAGATCTACTGGAGAGAGATTATCGCTTCTGGTCACAAATCCTCCTAACAGAGCCTGTGTCATCCAGCCAAACTGAAAACTGCACAGCGGTGCAGCGGTCTCGGTCTTTGGTGTTGTGTTCCCAGATACGTTGTTAGAAAACGAGGTTGGAAGATTTATTGCTCTAAACGTTTATCCCCTGAAAGTTTCCAAGTAACCAATCCTGATGTATACTTTCATCCCTGTGAAAGTTACCGCGGCAGCGGCCCTCTGCAGTTCAGTGACCTGCAGGGAGACCTGTAGGGTTGGGAGCTCTTAGCAGACCCAAGAGCCACTTTTTCTAGCATTGTTTTGAGTAAGTTCTAATTTGGAGGGGACTGTGAAGGGTTACTGAAGCAAGGTGTAGAAATTAGGAAGTACGGAATTCATTTGGTCATGCAGCAGCTGATGCTGGGGCAAGTGAAAAAACACTTTTGTGCTTTAGTTTTTCTACCTGCAAAACAGATTTGAAATATTTGCATATTTGCAAACATATTTTCGCTGATTAAATAAAAGGTTCTGTGAGTACAAAATATTATAATATGTACATCTTGGGGGCACTCAGTCGAAAGTCCCCTTGGGATCCCAAAGTTCTGTACCGACATTCACAAGTTGAGCTTCATCAGCGTCCCTGGGATTTATGAGAAGGACAGGGAGATGTTTGCAGTGGTGTTAAGCTTGCCATCATATGTGAATTCAGCACCTGCAGGTGTATTTGACACTGTTCTGAAAACAGTTCATGATATTTCAGCACCAAATTATTAAAGCACATTTAAACTTTTATCTACATATAGATAGATATCTATATATATACACCTACATATGTGATCCAAAAGTACTGAACTTGCCGTTTTGCAGGTTGCATGTCAACCAGATTATACTAATGACAATGATTTATATACAGCAAATGCTATCCTAGGAAAAGGGATGTTTAGCGGAAGAAACTGACTTGACGTGTCTGACACTGCTTTATAAGGGAGTCTAGGACAAAAAAGAAAGACATTAAGACTCTGAAAATCGCATCTCATGGGGGTCATGGCAGGACACATTGTCCCTGGGGAGAAAGGAGACGGTTTGTTTACTGAGTCTGTTTCACCAGGAAACTGGAGCAGAGGGTCTCTAGGAGGTCACCTCAACAAAGTGACGTTTTGCTGGCATAAATGTGTCAGCTGTAAGAACTCTTGGGTGCCACCAGCAGTCCAACTGAGGTGGCAAACTTTTAGTGTGTGTACTGCTATTCTCAAAAAGGCATATGCATCAGCTGGGTCAGGAGAGTACTCAGTTACGTGAACACGTTGAAATGAGGGGATGTTTCTCTGTAATGGGGCAAGGACTGTATGAACTAAAATAGGATTAGGCCAATTTAATGACAGGTGTTGGCAGCAACTCTTGCTTAAGCTAGTTCCTCCTCGCTGCAGTTGCAGCCTTTTTTCAGCTGCTCTTGCACAACTGTTTCAAGACCACCCCAAATGCGAAGTCAGACATTTGCCTTTTTGGGTTGTTTTTCTTGTTAAGCCAGATCAATTCCCTGATGTGGCGTTGTGGCACGGCTCTGACAAAGTTGTGTCGGCACAGCGGAAGTAGCGCTGCAGTGGGTAGGGAATAAACAGTGGTTGGTGAGGAGGGACTGGAATATCTTCAACCAGCAGTACCACCAAAAACTCGGTATTGTGAAACCGTCTTCAGTAAGGCCCGAATTAAAAGAATTATGCTACGTCTCTGTTAGCGTACCTTGAACTGTTCTTGACCAGCTTCACATACAGGCATGTTTATTCTGGAATAATTGTTTAGCCTCTGTTGAGCTAAACAGGAAGAAATGCTTGCTCTGGAGCATGTCTACGTAAAAGGTTAGTCTAGGGCAACTGCATGTGTAGACAGTCTCACCAGCGCTTGCCTGCAAGGCTAGACTGTTCCCTGTCCATAAGCGTCCTTCAGAAAAGAGCGAGATGACAAGTAGGACTCAAACTGATCCTTCAACAAACAGAAACAAATAAAGTGCTTGAAGCTCTCTTAAGAATCAGGGCAACAAAAGAAAGAATTCAGCACATACCAGTTAAAAAAAAGAATATGAACTGAAACTGTTCCAAGGTAGTAGGGGCCATTTCCATAGGATGAGGCAAGGATGGAGGGAATCTGGAGAATGAATGGCCTCATAATAGAGGAGATCTTCCAAGTTCAGAGGCAAGAGTTTGTGGTGCCCCTGCCTGTATCTTCCTTACTCCAAGAATGAATGCAGCTTTGGATTTCCGAAATGTCCTTCTGGTTATAAACGCACCAGAGCTATGAATGTCTTTCTAAAGAGAAGATTCGTGCTCCTACACAAACACTTCCCAAACAAGCAAGAGGTGTGTATTAGAGA